ACAAATGGTGCTTCATTTAAGATGCTGCTAGGGGTTGGGAGATGAGTGAGTGTTCAGTATTGTGGCATAGTAGGTTAAGCCACTGCCCTCAACATCCTATGTAGGTGCCAATTTGAAGCATGGCTGCCTCACTTCCTAGAAAATTTCCTGCTACTGCACTTGGTGAAGCAGCAGAAACTGGCCCAAGCACTTGTGCCCTGCACCGATAAGGAAGTCCTGTGTGAACCTACTCCTGGCTTTAATGTGGTCCACCTTTGGGTGTGCAATTATTTGGGGAGCGAGTCAGAGGATGAAAATTCTCTCCCTCGCACTCTCTGACTTTTATACAAATAAACAAACAAACAAATAAATAAATAAACAGCTGCACCCCTCACCTGCTACTTGCTAGGATGGACATCAGCAGGAAGCTGAAAGTGCAGCACAGCAGGCTTCCTGAATGCTGAGTCCCTGGGAAGTTGAGGATTCTTAACTGATCCTTGACATCCATGTCATCCTCTATGATTCTCCTAAAGATCACGCACACATTTCTGAGAAAAAAAACTCCATTACTTCTTTTTGAGGTGCAAATATCTAAAACCATAATACAGATACAGAGGAAAAGCCATGAAGCCACAGTCAAACAGCTTTGGAAAATGTTCAAAAGACACTTGGCTTTGCAAAGGATAAGGTTATAACAAATTGTATGTAGGAAACAGTTCTGTAACAGAACTTTCCCCATATATCCTACAGAAAAAAACCCACTCAGAATGCAATCTAGACCTGAAATCAAATATTGTCAAACTACCAGAGCAAAGCCAAGAGCAGTCAATGTAAGACATTGACCCAGGTAAGACTGTCAAACACACAGGCACATAGGCAAAAAAACAAAAATAGAATCTGACATTATCCCCATCTAAGAAGCTTGTGCTCAGCAAAGGAAGAATTAATAAAGTCAACAGGTGGCTGACAAAATGGGAGAAAACATTTGTACTCCAAGCATTTCTTTAAAGATTAATTTGCAGTATGCACAAAGTTAAAGAACTCAAGAAAGCAACCCAGTTAAGAAAAGAGCTATGCATCCGGCATGAGGTTTCAACTGGCAATCCCTCAAATTGCAAATACCAACATGCAATATGGATGCCGGTTTGTGTCCTGGCTGCTCCACTCCCCATCCAGTTTCCTGCTATGTCCTGAGAAATCAGCGGAAGATGATCCAAAGCTTTTGGAACCTACATCCATGTGGGAAACCCAGAAAAAGCACCTGGCTCCTGGCTTAAGATTGGCTGAGCTCTAGCCATTGTGGCCATTTGTGGAGTGAATCAGCAGATGAATGATCTTTCTCTGTTTCATCTCTCAGTGAGTCTGCTTTCCCAATAAAAATTGCTTTCAAGAAGAATTGAGCCCCTTCTATGAATAGATACACCTTAGAGGAAGGAATAAATGTGAATGACACTTGAAAAGATGCTCAGCATCATTTTCCACCTGGGAAATGAAAATAAAAGCCACGGTGATGTAGCACATTACTCCAGTTTGAATGACCATTATCCAAAAATTAAAAAACATACAATGCTGGTCTGATTGCAAAGAAAAGGGTATCCTAATACACTCTTAGGAAATGTAAATTAGCATGATCTCTATAGATTGCTCAAGTGAAACATGCATGGACTTATCATAAAGCCAAGCATCTCACTTCTGGGAAGATAGGAAAAGGGAATGACAGAGCGTAGGATCAGAGATTCCTGTGTTCTCATGTCTGTAGCAGACCAGCTCACAATAGAACCATGTGGAATCAAGCTAGATTTCCATCAACTGAGGACTAAAATAATGGTTTAAATGTGTCTACACACATGGAAAGCATATATGTGTGTATATATATTTTATTTGTGCATTATATTGATCTATAAATTTAAATTTGTTATGTTAAACATTAAACCACATATTAAAATTATATACAGCATATTACTTATGTAAAATAATTATATGATATATATAACATATATATTTGCAACAGGTATATACAAAGCGCTATGACACAATGTTCAATATTAATATTTCAAACACGATGCAAATTTCTGACTCTGTTCTTTCTAATGGAAAGTGTTACACCAGATCTGTTGGACTTCTTGCACTTGACATGGCCCACAGGGAATGCAGCTCCACTTTCTCGCCAGGAAGTTTCATGTTGTTCCTCCTGCTTTGTGGCTGGCATCACTGTTACAGTGTCAATGTGTTTTTCTGTATTTCTACATACCAGGGATATCATCAGAATTATACCCAGGTATACTCATAGCCACCCAAGTGATTGAATGTTGTTTACCAATACCAGATTGAACTGGAAATAATGGAAGGTTCCTGATTTAGATTTGCCTGCATGTATTTCAAAGTAGAGACCACTTAGAAAAATATCTTAAGTAAGACTAGTTTGATATTTTAATACAAGAACCAAGAAAACCACTGATGGGAGTTGTGCTCAATGAAACATGAGTGAGTTATGGGATGCCTGGGTGATTTCTAAAGAAGCTTAAATTCTAAATGTGGATTATAAAGCAAGCATTAAAAGCCCATATAGTCACACTATAATCCTGTTTTGTGAAATCTATGAAATTTGTAACCATTGTATAAATGTGTTATATAAAAAAAGAACATGGGTATGATTGAAAAAGAATACCACGAGTAACTTAATTACTTTAAGGCATGGCTTATCTTTTGATCATTGCTTCACATAGACAAGACAGTATAACCAAAAATAACATGGAGTAAATAAAATAAATTATTTTAATATTTCATAAGTTCCATTTTGTCTAAGAAGATAAATGTAACTGACTTGATTATGGCAATTGTGTGATGGACAATATATGCATATTTCTAGAGATGCTTAAGTGCTCTTCATCAACAGAGTAAAGATTCCCATGTGTGAAAGGTTTGATTGTACTTAACATATAGTCATCAAAAAAACAAATGCAGAAAATGCCCTTGTGTGTACAGAAAGCAAGGAATGTTTATGAAGATCTATGTGAATTGCTGTGTGAAAGTTTCCTTTGTGCTAACATTACTGTCTGGTTATCCCAAGATGAAAGAGAAGAACACGTTTCTTGTGTGAGGAAACATCACGGTTAATTGTGAAAGACTTGGTGGAGAGTACATAGTGTTACATCACTATTTCAGGACCACTGGATGGCCTGGATAGACCACTGGGATGAGGCTGGTGCTCCATGCTTTTCCAGTTACACTGGTCTGGCCTCAGGTTATGGAGGTACACAAGTGGGAGAATTCCTGCTTTAGTGCCTGCATTGCTCCCCAGCCATTATCACCCTTCCCAGCACCCTGGCCTGCTTATCCTGACTCTTCTACTCAGTGTAGATGAGCAGAGAAAAACCCTACTGCCTACACTTTTACCACTCTGATTCCCTTAGCGTGATGTTGCTTTTGGATTATTTAGGTCTCCATGGAGGTTCTGATGACAGCATCAACCTCTTTCAGTTTTCAGTGCAGGGACAACAGTTCACGGGTATTAGTCCTTCCTGAGACCATTGGTTAAAGACCTGTGACTGGAACACAGTCTCAGGATTTTTAATGTCCACTTATCAATCCACCTGCAAAAATCAAAGCAATAAGAGAGGATGACTTGATTCACGGCTAAAACATAGGTGATGTGTCCATTATGTGAACTGTTGCCCTTAAAGATAAGGGGTGTGCTGGGTGATGGCCAGAAGCAAGAAACCAGGGTCTAATGAGAAGGCTTGGTGCTTAACATCCTTGCAATGTATGCACTATTTTCCATATGGGGACTGATTTGTTTTCCAGCTGTTTCACTTCCCATCAAGCTCCCTGCCTGTGGTCTTGGAGAGCAACAGAGAAAGGGTCAAGACCTTAGGACCCTGTGCCTGTGTGGAAGACCTAGAAGATCCTGGTTTTTGGTTTCAGATTGGCTCAGCAAAGATTGTTGTGGCCTCTTGGGCAGGGAGGCAGTGAACGGAAAATCTTTCTCTCTGTCTCCTTCTTTCTATAAATTTAACTTTAAACAAAGGTGAATTTGTAAGAAAAAAAACAAGTAAGAAACCTATCAGGTGCTGAGTGCAAATGGAGTTCTTAGGTCTGCTAACAGAAGATGGGAAGGAGATTCTTGTAAAGAAGCAGGTGAGCTGATTCTTGAATAACAAACAGGTGAATGGTTAGCTGATTGAGGGAAGAGGGGAAGATGTGTTCTTATGGAGGAGGTCACATCGTTACCTCAGTTTTCATCCATTGGGCTGCTTGCTTTGCTTCCACAATAATTCCCCAGGAATAACCGTGGCATGCCAGGTGATGCAGTCCCCTTATGGTTCATTTCTCTTTATGTCTTTATGCAAATTCTTTACACAGATTGTAAATGCAAGCTTTACCCCTCCATAGGAACAATGGTCATTGCCAAATATTTTAAAATAACCTTTACTTTTCCGGTAATATAAGTAGAAATGACAGCCAAAAATCCTTGGGACCCTAAAAGTTTATGGCAGACATGGAAGAGGCTCCAGGCTTCAGTCTCCTGGCTTTGGGTTATTTCAGCTCTGGCTAATTGTCCTCACTTGGAAAGTGAACCAGTGGACAGATTTCTCTCTCTTTTTCTCTGAATTTCTGTGTATCTATGTTTCCAACAAAATTTATGAATTCATAAAAAAGTTAATTCCCAATATGCTAATCTAGCAAGAATAATTGAATGAGACTACAACCCACTCAAATGATACTGTCCTGCACAGGGAATGATCCATTAAGTGAACTTGCAGATGTTTTTAATCCAAGGTTAAGGAACATTGGAAAGTAACAAAGGGAAAAATTTTACCTACTCAAGAGAACAGATGGCTTCACAAGTGTGCTGCTGAAATTTTATAGATGTTGACACCAAATAAAGAGAAGGTATAAGAAAACAAAACACACAAGAAGATTCTACGTTTGTAATTTGATGAGGAGTTAAAATTTCAAGCTTGCAGACATTGAGAGCTACAACAATGGGCTCTTTCTTTGCTCCAGATCAATGAACCATCTCACAGTTTCTGCCCGAAGAGTCTTTTCAAGGCCATCTTGACATCTGTATTCCTCAGGGTATAGATGAAGGGGTTCAGCATGGGGGTGACCACTGTGTACATCACCGAGGCCCTAGCACTTGCATGTGAGTTTTGGGTAGCAGTAGAACTAATGTAGACACCCAGCCCTGTAAAATAAAACAAGGAGACAACCGAGAGGTGGGAGGCACAGGTGGAAAAGGCTTTATACTTGCCCTGAGCTGAGGAGATTTTACGGATAGAGGAGACAATCTTAGAGTAGGAATACAAGATCCCAGCCAGGGGACCTCCTCCCAGTAAGATAACAAAAAAATACATGATGACATCATTAAGAAACGTGTCTGAGCAGGCAAGTCGGGCCACATGATTCAGTTCGCAGAAGAAGTGAGGGATTTCTAAGTGCAGACAGAAGGACAGACGCAAAATCATTAAGCTTTGCAATAGGGCATGAAGAAAACTAATGACCCAGGACACCAGAATGAGCTGTGCACAGAGCCGGGAGTTCATGATGACCGTGTAGTGCAGGGGGTGACAGATGGCCACATAGCGATCATAGGCCATGACAGCCAGGACAAAGTTCTCCAACTCAACAAAAAGCAAGAAGAAATACAACTGTGTGATGCAGCCAGCATGGCTGATGGCTTTGTTCTCAGTCCAGACGTTCACCAGCATCTTGGGGACAATGGTGGAGGTGAGACACATATCATAGGAAGATAGGTTGGTGAGGAAGAAGTACATGGGCGTGTGGAGTTTCGGGTCTGAGAGGATGGCCAAGATGATGAGCAGGTTCCCACTGACAGTAACCAGGTACATGGAGAGGAAGAGCCCAAAGATGAGAGGCTGCAGTGCTGGGTCCTCTGTGAATCCCAGGAGAAGAAATTCTGAGAGTTGGGATTTATTGTGAGGTTCCATGCTTTCAGAAAATCTGCTAAGACAGAGACGTAAAAACTCATGGTTACCTTTTACACAGAGTTAATATTTATGTAGATAAAATGCTGGCACTCATATTTCCAGGCATAAAACTCATTTCTATCTCATGCCCATGATTTAGTACCACAGTGTGGACTCTGACAGCATCTCTAATCAGGCTTTCCTAAGCATTCGCCCTAAGATCCCTGCATATATCATGTAGTTTTAATAAGAAATTGCCTTGCACTGTTTGAGGTATATGCTGACATCTGACCATATTCCCAGCACTTCTTCACAGAAAAAGAGTACCATGTACATAACTCCTGGTAATGAAGACACCATCTGTAAGCCAATCAATGCTACGGATGGAAAGAAAATAGATAAAAGATCCTTGATTGATGACACTATGTTCCATCTGGTGCCCAAGTAGGACCAAAAAGGGTTTGCCCAGTCTCAGAGAAACCGAACCATGGGGCACATTCAGGAGTGAAGGATTTATAGGGATCAACAACTGCAGAGACCCTGGGGTTGGTGTCCCCACCTAACAATAACAGTCCAAAGAGACAGGTGTGATGTGGACATGGCAGCAGGATGAGTGGCAAGGGACAGATTCAGAGGAGAGGTTGACATTGAGCTATCCTCCCAGCACCCTGCAATGCTAGCACACAGTCTCCTGTAGATATTAAGAACCTCTTGCAGCTTATTAATTTTTACAATGCTCTGTGAATACTGCCGGTTTTAGTTTGCTAATTAGTTTTTTACATTATTTCAATATAAGTGATATTTGTTAGCATTGTATAAGTAAATAAACTTAACTGTAAACATTGCACATCTTTGTGGATGTGGTCTGGCCATATCTCTATGGATGGTGTGTGTAATGTTCAATCCTGGTGACTATGTGTATGCCTTCAAGCACAGAATATTCCCTCCTGGTGGGAACAACCGAAAATCATGTCCTCTACTTCTTAAAGTAAACACACATGACATGAACATGATCTGTCACCACCCTCTGTGAACCACAAGTCCAGGACTATTGTTGCCTCACTAACTTAGCATCCATTAACACCTCCCCCCTTCTCCCTGCCTCTGTCGGTTATCTCTAGTCTCTGAGAGTAACTATTATACTTAATAGTTTCGGGAAATGGATCAGGGGCTTGAAATAAAACTCTTTTCCAAATGCTACATGATCACAGAGTTGTTGTCTCATTATTGTAAAGGCCACAGCCCTTTTTCTCCTGGTCTGTGTGTTTCTTTTCATAAGAAAACCCCGAGTGAGAGAAGATGCTGTAAACAACATGATTTAGGAGGCATGGCTGCAAGTGGTACTTGCAAGCAACATCTTATTCTAAAGCTAACAGGAGCAAGCATTTCTCCTCATGCAGAAAGAATTTCAAAATTAAATTCTCCTCATGCAGAAAGCATTTCTCCTCATGCAGAAGTTTGAAATTAAAGCATAGAGTTGAATCCTTAGGGCTGCACTTTGGATTCTGTTTAGCATGCCTGCACCCAAGCTCAGAATTATTTGTTTGTACGATTCATGGGTCTGCTCTGGAGTCCAACTTCCTTCCGAAGTACTCTCAGGGCAGGTCCCAGGCACAGCTTGTGAGGCTGGGTTTTCCTGCTTTCCATGGAGGGGACTCACACAGAGTCTGGGCAGCTGACTTGCTTGGCTGGCCCCAGCCCAGCAGTTTACAATCATTTGGGAGTCAATCACTATAGGAAACACTGCTCTCTGTGTATGTTGCTCTCTCTTAGTATTTCTGCCACTCTAATGGAAGCTACATAAATTGATACTAAATGTGCTCATGTAGCTGTAGTCCCTGACACACAGCACCCTACTTTCTCCTCCTTGTCATTCCTATGGTGCTGGATCCATGTTCTCTTTTCCCTGGAACTATGTTCTGTTTCTCATTCTCTCCCTGATGCAAGTCCCTGTCAGCCACTTTACTGTCGTCCATCAGCTGCTATCACAACAGATATTTTTATGTAGCCTTATAGCCACAAATACATACAGTAATCAGTTCATGCAGTAGCCAAACTAACAGTGTCACCTCTTCATCTGAAACAGACTGGCGTGTCCAATGGGTGGCCTCGGGTTAAGGCCCTGGGCACTCATTTTTTGAGATTCTATCCTGTGGTACCTGCCAGGCTCTCATACACATCTGGATGGGTCGTGTGGTTGGAGGGTCTCTGAAGCGAAATGGGACTGCTGCCTGGATGGCTGATGATGGAGGGTGAAGACTGAAGGTCACAGAGAAGACAGCAGGAATGAGGGCAGCCCTGGTCCCCTGTCCGATCAAGACTCCAGGAGGAATTCTAGGTGGGATCGGGGCTGAGGATGTACTCTGTGAGAACGGGCAGCAGAGTGAGGATTTACAGCCCCGTCTCTGCTCATTAGGCCCATGTCCCTCTTCGTGTCCCGGCCTCTAATCACCTGAATTCCCTGCGGGGATGCTGGTCTGGGAAGAAAAAATCCTTCCTCCTGATTCTCTGTTCCCAAGAGACTGTGGAAGTCAGGTGAGCCCAGTGTTGATTGCCCCTGCTCTGGGAACTCTGCTGCATCCCAGAGGTCAAAGCTCTAAGGCAAACTCCTTCTTGGTTGATGTTTCCTCCCAAAGAACCTGCCCTGATTGCATCCTCAGTATCTCCAGTCTAGAGGTATGCTGAGTGCACTACCCCTGATGTCTGCATCAGGTTGTCAGTTCCCTCTTCTCAAAGGGGAAGTTCTTTATTAGACTCAGAAGCAGCAGCCCTGAGCATCTAGGAAGTAGCAATTGCATCAGCAGTTAAAAGCACACATTGAGTTCCTCATTATAAAGCATTTGCTAACACAAAGGGATGTATTCTTTCATAATTTTTCATCAATGCATGATTGGTTTAGAAACCTGCCATATAGTATACAGATATACATTGTTTCACAAACAAATAGGGTAATTGGCACATCAATCATCTAAAGGGTTACCATTTATTAGCATTAGCAACCTACAGAAACTTGTGTTTTTTTAAATATATGATGCATGAAGGAAACAATACAGAACTAATTGTTTTACCCATCTTCCTGTAGAGCTTGAACCTTTTTACCCTAATTATATAAAGATTGTCAAAAAAATAAATAATTTTAAAAAATATATGATGCATTATTGGCCACCTCCTGTGATAAAACACTTAATTTACAATACAGTGAAGGGCTTAATGCCTCACCAAATAAAGTTAAGCAGCTAAAAGGTAAAATGATTCTAGTTCAATGCAAGAATAGACAAAGCTATAAACAATTATCAGGTAGGGAAGAATGACCAAGTCCCCTATGTACAGTCCATATCCAAATAATCACATTACATTGAAAAGATAGTGGTATGACTTTATTAAACCTTACTTTGGTAAGTGCATAAAACACAGATTGGCAAAACCATATTTGTAGCAATAGTCATGTCTTATATTTTTCTTTCCTTTGTTTTTTTTTTAATATTAGCTCCCACATTTAAGGCAGGACATACAGTGCTTGTCTTTTAGTGCGCAGGTTATTTCAAAATTGTCCTCTGGTTTCAGGCATTTTGTTGCAAAATATAGAACTTTGCTCTTCCTAATAGCTGAATAATATTCCACTGTGTCTTTTTACCACATTTGTATTATTCAATCATCTGATGATGAATGCCTTGTTTAATTCTATATTTTGTCTGTTGTAAACAGCGCAGTTCAAAGAATGACATTGCAGGTATATGTTTGATACAAGGTGCCCATGTCCTTTAGAGATATATATCCTGAGGTGAGATTGCTGGATCACATGAAAAAAACAAACAAACAAAAAAAAAGCCTGTGAGATAGATACCTCATGTGTCTGATGAAGGATACATCAGACACTTAAGTCAATCACAAAAGGACAAATTTCATATGTTTGCTCTAATATAAGACAACTTCCATCCAAAATACAAAGCACGATGTTATACATGAACAAAAATATACACTTGTAATCTCACTAAGAATTTACCAGACCAGAGTACCAGGCATCCATAAATCCATCTCCACTGCTGAATCAAAGTAGGCAAGTTGCAGCAGCCCTGCCCCTGCCTGGATCCACGGTGACATGTCCTAGCCTGGAGTTCCTCTGCTTCTCCACTTAGAGTTTAAACAAGAAAAAACTCTGCTGGCATAGTGGTATAGTTAAAATAAATATGTCATTAACCAGTCCCAGAATGCCCACCAGCTGATTTTCTCTGAGCACTATAACATTTACCTAGGACAAGGCAGCCTAGGCAGTTGTGCTCCACATCTGACCCATTGTCCTTGTAACGTGCCTGAGAAAGTGGTGGAAGATGGCTTGTGGTGGAAGGGTTTGGGCCTCTACCAAACATGTGCTTTGAGTTGGTCTCATTTCAGCTGTTTTGATCACTTAGTAAATAGGAGACCTCACTTTCTCTGTCTCTCTCAAACTTGTTCTTTCTCACTCTTACAAGTAAAAAATAAATATTTAACACAAGCAAGTTAACCCTTGTTAGAAATATATATCTATATAATATATTATATAGATATTTTATATATCTATATATCTATAAATATAATATATTGTATTTGGAAATCTATGTGTAGCTGTGTTTTTGTTTAGTTTTTTTTCTTTAGTTATACACATTACACATTCTCCTCAAAGTTTGGCACCCTGTATTTTAAACTTCTGCCTTTTTTTTTTTTTGGTTAAGGAAACTGAGATAAAAATAAAAATACCGAACTAATACTAAACTGTGTAGAAGGAGCTCTGAAATAGCTTAAGAAATCTAAAAATGGAAGGTTAGAACTAATTTGGTTAATTTCCAAAATAATCGACAACAATTGTCAAGAAAGAAATGGTTAACCTTTTTGTGTCATATTTTTCAAGAACATAAAAGACAAAGTAACAAAGAGAGTGAGGGAAAGAGGAAGAGATTTTCCAACAGCTGCCTCACTCCCAATTGGTCATTACAGCCAGGGCTGGACCTGCATGAAACCGCTTGGTCTCTGCACCCTTCGCTTAC